GAAAAAGCCGGAAGTGGTGATATGGCTCAAGTGGTAGAGCGATAGCCTTGAGGTGAAGAGCTGAAGGACAGCGCCCAGGCCCAGAGTTCAGGCCCCACGACCGGACCCCCCCCCAAAAAAAACAAAAACTAAGGGTTGAGAGGATGGGGGGAGAAAAGATACAGAGAGAATTATTCTGATCATAATACAATATAGGCACATCTAAAACAGCATGGTAAAAACTGTTGGTACAATTAATATACACTAAAAAATTGGTAGTACCCAGCCATACCACTCTTGTGCATCTACCAGAACTTCACAAGCCAGGACTGTAAAGACACTTGCACATCGTGTTCATTGCTGCACTATTCACAATAACCAAATGTGGATGACCTACAATAGATGAGTGGATCTAAAAAAATGTGGAACCTATACACAATGGAATTTTATTCATCCATTAGAAAGAATAATATTATGTCACTTGCAGGGAACTGGATGGACCTAGAACAAATCATGTTATGTGAGGTAAGCCAAGCTAAAAGACACAAATGGTGCATGTTTTCTCTCATATGTGGGAGCTAGAACTAAAATGCACTGGTACATGATAACTTACACAGGAATCTAGGCATTCACACACAGTGAGACCAAAGGGGGGTACTCTAAGGGGAAAAACCAAAAAGCATAACTCCTCTGGACATTTAAAATACTATGTATTGAAACAAATTCCAGGAAATGGAAATGAGAGTTTTTGTTGTTGTTTGTGGTGGTGGTGGTGGTAGGGTTTTTTAAATTAATTATTTATTTATTTTTGTCAGTTGTGGGGCTTGAAATCTGGACCTGGGCCCTGTCCCTGAGCTTTCAGCTCAAGGCTAGTGCTCTACCACATAAGATACAGCATCACTTCCAGTTTTCTAGTGGTTGGTGATAAGAGTCTCATGGACTTTCTTGCCCAGGCTGGCTTTGAACCATGATCCTCAGATCTCAGTCCCCTGAGTAGCTAGGATTACAAGCGTGAGCTTCCAGCAGCCATTTTGTTTTTTTTATTTTTGTCATTTGTTTGTGAGGTTTTTTTCCCCTTTTTGTCATTTGTGGGTTTGTTTTGTTATCATACTGTTGGCCATTGGTTCTAGGAAACCTCACACCCAAGACAGCATAGAAGGAGAGTGACTCATCAATGTGTTTGGCCTTAAGACCTCAAAGAATATAATGTCTGTCCCATCCCTGCAGTCTATCTTATTCTGGGATTCTGAGCCAGAGCTCCATGGAAAGCCCTTCCCAATATCTCTCTTTGTTCCTATTTGAACTAGTAGAAGAGCATTGTATGACTGGGAGGAATGTGAATAGGTCCCTGAAAAAAAGATGGGAAGATCTTTTATGACAGGAGGAAAGAAGAAAAGTGGTGCTATGTCTCACGTGGGCAGTAAACTTAGTTTTCTTCCCACTTGGGCCTTGCCTCTGTGTGCACCTGTCACTGAGAAGGCTGTCTAGTACCTGTTGAGTAAAGCGAATGGTGTCTCTGTGACCAAAAGCACCTCTGTTGTCTCTTCTCTTCCTCATCCCTTTGATCCCTCCTGCCTAAAATAATGCCTAATTATTTTCTAGATGATAAAGGGCTAGATGGGGGTGGGAAGAAAATGTCCCTTTAACTTAATTTGGCCTGCCCTCTCTCACAGAGTCGAAATGATGTTATCCGAGAACGCTTTGGAATGGACCCTAAGCCAGAGATGCTTTTGGGCCTGGCTGCCCTCCACATCTATATCACTGTCTCAGCTACTCGGCCTACTCAGAAGATCTCACTCAAGAATGTGGAGTGAGTTGTGGAGAACCCTTTGGAATGGGGACATATTGCTGCATAGGGAGAAGATGCTCTGCTGTGCATTTCACAAAAGTATGCATGCTGTAGGAGTGAGAATCAAAAGTCTTCACACCTAGCCTGTTGTAGCCTACAGCTACAGCTCCCACTGAGGACCAATGATGTTCTGTCCCCAGCCCCTTCTCTCAATTTCTATTTGTCCATCTCTGCCACTCTGCTTCAGTCAGTTTGTCTTACCATCTTCTTCTCTCTGTCCTACTTCATCTCTCTTACTAACCTCTTCCTTTTCTTTTGCTTTTAGGAAGGAGTGGGGTTTGGAACCCTTTCTTCCCCCCTCCCTCCTGCAGGGTATTAAAGAGAAGAACCTTCGAAAATCTCTCTCTCAGCAACTGAAAGCTCACCAAACTCATCCTTCTAGTGGCACCAAGGTACCTAAAGGCTATTAGGCACTGTGTTTAGGCACTAGAGGTCTTGGGGAGGATGGAAGTGTCTTCATTTTTCTGGGGATCCCTAATCTTTGACTCATGTATATATCTGGGTTGGTATGAAGTATGGGGCTGTAACGGACAGGAGTCTGTCACAACTCAGAGATTCTCTGAGTCACAACTCAGTAGAATTCATTGAACAAGTTTTGGGTCCTCAACGCAAAGTGACCAAATGCAGCTCGTTCCTCTATTCTTTCACCAATTAGTGCTAATTGAGCACGTGTCCTATGGCATGCATTACCCCCAGGAGAGACACATGCTTTCTGTGGAAATGACTGCTCTGCTTTTCAAGTTCATCAGTCCTGGGATGTGGAATTCTGGAACATGAAAGCCCAACCAGGGTCTGGGTGGAGGATGTGACAAGGCCTAATCTGCAGAATGGACCACAGGGCAAACATGAGGGCCAAGGTTACAACTGTGCTGTTCTCCAATTTCTGGGCACACACCTTTGCCTATGAGGGACCTCTCTCCTGCCTCCCCTAGTCCTGACTCTGTAGTCCCTTCTTAGGCTTCTGGGGCTCCATGTACTTGTTTCCTACCCCAGAAGCTATTGAGTGGTGAGAAATGCTAGAATCTGCACAGGGATGTAGATGCAGGACATGGATGGATCCCACTCATATTTTTCAGCCATTCCAAATTTCTTGGATTGCCAGCTAGCTTCTATTTTAAGATGCCAATTTCTCTCAGAAAGCTAAGCCATTCCCACCTTGCTGCACATATTTAATAGCATTGTTTTCTTCTCAGCTGAGAGCACCAGTGCTTACCACCATCTCCACCACTAGCATTTATTATTTTTGAGCCTGGAAATACAAAGCTGAAGAAGGCATGACAGAATCAGGCACGGTCTAATGCAGAAACACAATAGTCAGCCCCAACACAATGTCATAGGTTCCATGAGCTCTGGAAACACAGAGGAGGGACACTAAGCACAGGCTGGGAGAGGAAGAACACGCCAGGAACTGGTACATTTGGTGCTAGATCTTGGTCTTGAAGAAAGGACAGATAGCTAGGAGTTTGTCTACATAAGTTGGTTGGGTTAGGTAGTGGAAGACTTTCCTAAGCAGAGAAATCCATTTGTACAGAAGTCCAGAGATAGGAGAGACTATGGTATGAGGGCAGGAAAGCAGATAGCTTACTCTTAACAAGTACACGGAAGGCATGGGGTATAGCAGGGACAAGAAAAGAGGTAGGGAAGTCAACGGGAGTCTGTTCAGAGGACCTTCTGTGCTGGGGCTTGGAGGGAGGCTCAGAGAAGGGAAGCAGGATTGAAGCAGGAAGCAGTTGTGATTAAAGTTACTAGGGGATGGGGCACTGGTGGCTCTCACCTGTAGTTCTAGCTACTCAGGAATCTGAGATGTGAGGATTGTGGTTCAAAACCAGCTTGAGCAGGAAAGTCCATGAGACTCTTATCTCCAATTAATCATGAGAAAATCAGTGCTATGGCTCAAAGTGGTAGAGCACTAGCCTTAAACAAAAGAGCTAGGGACAGGGGCTGAGAAGGTGGCTCAGTGGTAGAGTGCTTGCCTTGCATGCATGAGGCCCTGGGTTCAATTCCTCAGCACCACATAAGCAGAAAAAAAGCCAGAAGTGGCACTGTGGCTCAAGTGGTAGAGCGCTAGCCTTGAGCGGAAGACCCGAGTGACAGTATCCAGGCTAAGAGTTCAGTCCCCACAACTGAAAAAAAAAAAAGCTACACTGCCCAGGCCCTGAGTTAAAGCCCTATAACAACCCACAAAAAAAGTTACTATGGTTTTGGATGCTTCTGCTAACAGTGGGTGGAGGCAACTGAGGGAAGGATGGAGGCAACTGAGGGAAGAGTATCTGTAGTAAATAAAAGTAATCTGACTCCCTCTGCCACAAGACAGAATGTCAAGGCAAATGGCTATAGGGCAAAAGAATAGAGATAAAGAGGTTGGAGAGAGTTGGGAAAAGTGAAGATAATTTGGTGATTATTGCAGATGAGAGGATGGAGTCCAGTGTCAGAGATTTCTCAATAGCCTTAGAGATTCTGACAGAGGTCTAGAAGATCAGGTGAAGAGCAGGGTTGAGATGTCATGCTACTCAATGAAAAAGCAGAGTAAGACCCTCAGCTTCAGATGGGCAGTGCCTAAGTGGCTCAAAGGATTTGAAGGATCTCAGAAAAAAAAAAAGCATGGATGAAGTGGGTATCAGAGTTCAAAGAAAGTATTAGAATTAAAAGCAAGCTCGAAATGAGTCAGTTGTATGCTTTAAGAGCCAGGATCAGGAGGCTTGGAAAGGGAGAATGGCAGAGGTGAGAGCAGTCCAATCTGGAACCTTCCCCTAGTTTCACCCCAGCCTCTCCTCATTCCCACAGCATAGCTTAGTGACTGGTGCCTGTCTTGATATTGAGACTCCTCTTTTGTTAACATACATTTGTTTTTCCTGTGCTTGTGGGGCTTCTCATATTCCAGGGTGGGTTGTTTCCACAGGGCTCTGCAATTCAAGCAAAGCTCCAGTATCTTCGAATTCTGAATGAACTTCCGACCTTCACTGGCGTTTTGTTCAACACTGTGGGCCTGGTCAGTGGGGTATGGTAGGGGAGGGTGTGATGGGGTGGGTGTGGTGGAGGAAGGACAGCTCTTTGTTGGTGACCTTGGGTAGAGGTGGCACAGGAAGGACCTTGAATTCAAGGTTTCCACATCTATGGATCCCAAATGTGGACCAAAAATTATTCTAAGAAAAAATGTGGCAGTACTGAATATATATATATATATATAGGCTTTTTATTTTAATTATTTCCTAAGCAAAACATATGACAGATGTTAACACCACATTTACACTAATTTGGTATTGTAAATAATATCAAGTATATGTAAGATGTGGCCAGATGTGGTGTTACACTCCTGTAATCCCAGCTATTTGAGTGAAACAGATAGGAGGATCACACTCCAGGGACTGCCTGAGTAAAAAGCAGGAGATATTTTTATTTTCTGAAAAAACAAACCAAAAGCAAAAAGACTGGGGAGGCATGGCTCAAGTAGTAGATCACTCGACTAGCAAGTGTCAGGCCCTGAATTTTACCCCCAGTACCAATAAAAAATAAACTGCAGGACTGGGGAGGTGGCTCAGTGGTAGAGCGCTTGCCTTGCATGCATGAGGTCCTGGGTTCGATTCCTCAACACCACACAAGCAGAAAAGGCAAAGCTCTGTGGCTCAAGTGGTAGAGCGCTTGCTTTGAGCTAAAGAGCTGAGGGACAGCACCCAGGCCCAGAGTTCAGTCCCCACGACCAACAACAATAACAACAAAAACTTCAAAAGTTTTGAAAAGATATGTAAGAGAGTTGGGCATGCTGCTACCTATCTACCTATGATCCCAGCACTCAGAAGTTGAGACAGGAGGATTGTGAGTTTGAGATCAGCCTAGTCTACATAGTGATACCCAATCTTAAATATATACATCCACATGGATACACACACACACACACACACACACACACACACACACACAATAGCCAGGCAAGGTGGCTCGCACCTGTAATCCTAGCTACACAGGAGGCAGAAATCCAAAGGACTTCAGCTAAAGGCCCGTCCAGACAAAAAGTTTGCAAGACCCTTACCATCAACCAATGAAAGCTAGGTGAAGTGGTATGCAACTGTCATCCCAGCTATACGAGAATCATCAATATGAGGATTGCTAAACATAAAACCCTATTAGAAGAAATAAGTAAAAGAGGCTAGAGACATGGATCAGATGATAGAGTGCCTACCTAACAAGTATGAGGTCCTAAAATCAAACCCTAAAATAAAAATAAATTATATATATATATATATATATTTGAGTTGTACTGTACACATAAATTGATATGTTAGATTGAAAACTCTTTGTCCAACTATTTAAAAATAGTAAAAATGCACGATTTAGATATTGTAAATTATGCATTTTTATACATTATACATACCTATGTATATACCAGAGCATATATGGATATTAGAACCTTCAAGGGGAAGCCCTAGAACTAAACTCATGGATACTAGGAGCCACCTGCATTTTTTAGAACCCTTTTGTAATTCTTTTGTGTCCTTCTTCTATTTTAGGGGTTGGCAACCTTTTTCTGAAAAAGGTGGGATAGTAAAGATTATAATCTTATGGATGTGCCAAATGTTTGTCTGTGACAGCTCCTCATCCCTGCCATCTTAGCATGAAAGCACTAGACACTATATTAACAAATAAGCATTGTTTGTGACAGTAGCTTATTTAGGGACACAGAAATTTGAATTTCATATAAGTTTTACACGCCACAAAATTTGTTTTTATTTAAAAAAACAAACAAACATGGTCCTTTGAGTTTCTTTCCAACCATCTAAAATATAAAAACCATTCCCCGCTCCTGGGCCACACAAAACAGGTGATAGGATGGATTTGGCCCACAGGCCCTTTTGCCAGCCCCTGCTCTATTTCACTGGCCTTACGCATACTCTGGTAGTCCCCTACCCCAGGTTTCCTGATTTCACCATCACGCCCCCTGCAGGTGCAACACTGACACTGCAGAAGCAATGCTCATGCGGGGCACAACTAGCCCCACCCCTACAAATATGCCCCAAGGTCCTTGACCTGGGTGAAAAAATTTTCAAAACATCTTGCTGATTGGTGCCAGATGCTTGTCACACTCTGGCGAGCACTCAGTCCTGCAAACTGCACGGGGAAAGAAAGCAGTATTATCAAAATGCCTGCAGAAAGACAAAGGGGTTCCCAAGGGTGATGCTAATGGCAGAAAGGTGGGCCAGAACAAGGCTCTGGTTTGATGGCTCCAGAGAGTATGTCAGGACCATGTAAGGGAATCCAGTCTATTACACCTACAGACAGACATTTAAATACTGAGATCACTGAAAGCCCCCTGTACCCTCCTTTCACCCACAAACACCCCTCAAATCTCTTTTCCTTTCATCTATCATTGCAAAAACTTCTATTGGACATTTCTTTTGGGTTAAAATTTCAGGAAGCTGGGCATCAGAGGCTCATGCTTGTAATCCTAGCTACTTAGGAGGCTGAGATCTGAAGATTGTGGTTTAAAACCAGCCTGGGCAGGAAATTTGAGAGATTCTTATCTCCAATGAACTACTCAGAAAAAGCCAGAAGTGGCACTGTGGCTCAACTGGTAGAGTGCTAGCCTTGAGCACAGGGAAGCTCAGTGACAGGGCCCAGGCCTGAGTTCAAGCCCCAGAAATGCTTATTAAAACACTCGTGTGTGTGTGTGTGTGTGTGTGTGTGTGTGTTTGTGTGCTTGTCATGGGACTTGAACTCAGGGTCCTGGGTGCTACCTCTGAGCTTTTTTTGCTCAAGGCTATACCACTTGAGTTACAGTCCCACTTGAGGCTTTTTGGTGGTTAATAGGAGATAAGAGTCTCTCAGATTTTTCTGTCTTGGCTGGCCTCAAACTGTGATCCTCAGATCTCGACCTCTTGAGTAGCTAGGATTACAGTTGAGACAACTATACCCAGCAGAAGAGTCTATTAAGCATCTAATTTACCTTTGATATGTTACATAGAATTTATTTATCACTTCAGCTTTTGGCTATTGTGGAAGGGAGGATAAAATCTTGGCACAAAGTTGTCTAGTCAGACAGAAGGTTAGGTGAGGGTCTCAAATCGCCTGCAGCCAGCAGTAGAAAGTCTGGGGCTTAGTAGAGGAAGGTTCTCCAAAGGCCTGAGAACTTCCTTCACCACTTTGCTAGAGCTAGCTCTGCTGCTGGCCACTTAACCCTCCTGCTGCAGTGGCTCTGCCCTGATACTGTGCTCCAGACATTTCTACCACTCCCTCCCTACCCAGCAGAACCAGTGCAATGTGCATTTTCTGTTTCCTCCTGTCTTCGGTCTTCCTGCTTCTCTGTGAATGCTGCCGGCCGGCCATGCTTGCACACCAGGACGAGAAACAGTCAGCCACCACTCTCCTAGTGGGACCCCGTCACGGCATCAGCCATGTTATTGACCTCAAAACCAACCTCACCACTGTGCTGTCTGAGTTCAGCAAGATCAGTAAGATCCAGCTGTTCCGGGAGAACCAGGGTGTGGCCCGAGTGGAGACAAGCATCATGGATGCCAAGGTAAACTCTGCTTTGATGGGGCTGTTTCTCTCCAGGAACATGCTTATGAAACATGAGAAAGAAAGCATGAGATTGTGAAGTAAGATTCTGTGATTCTGGACCCTGGACCCTGTTGAGTTTTTCTTTCCTTCACTTCTCAGCCCTCCAGATACTATATTGACCATGTAGGATGGTCAGCCAGTATTAAGGATTGCTAGGAATTGTCAGATGAACCTGTGATCAGAATTTCTCCACATGGCAGGATAACTGAAGAATTGACAACTACTGCTAGACCAGTACTTCCCAATTTTTCTCATGTTGTATTATAGGAAAATAGATTCACAAAGCTGAGCATGATGGTACATGCCTGTAATCCTAGCATTGTTGTAGTTCTAGTACTATGGAGGCTAAGGCAAAGATATCATAAATTCAAGGTTTAGGCTAGGACTACATTGTGAGTGAAACTGTCTCAAAATAAAAAATGATAGCAAAGAGCCAGACAGCAGTGCTTCATGCCTGTAATCTTAGCTACCCAGAAGGCTGAGGACTGAGGAAAGCAGTTTGAATCCAGCAGGGGCAGGAAGTACACAAGATTCTTTTTGGTTTTGGTGTGGGTTTTTTTGCCAGACCTGGGGCTTGAACTCAGGACTTGGGTGGGTACTGTCCCTGAACTCCTTTTACTCTATGTTATCCCTCTACCACTTGAGCCACAGTGCCATTTCTGACTTTTTCTGTGATTAATTAGAGATAAGAGTCTCACAGGCTTTCCTGCCTAGGCTGGCTTCAAACCTCAATCCTCAGATCTCAGCCAGCTAGGATTTACAGGCATGATCCACCAGTGCCTGGTTCATGAGCCTCTTTTTTTTTGGGGGGGGTCCAGTTGTGCGGCCTGAACTCTGGGTCTGGGCGCTGTCCCTCAGCTCTTCAGCTCAAGGCTAGCGATCTACCACTTGAGCCACAGCGCCACTTCCGGCTTTTTTCTTTTTGCTTATATGATGCTGAGGAATCGTACCCGGTGCCTCATGCATGCAAGGCAAGCGCTCTACCACTGAGCCATCTTCCCAGCCCCTCATGAGCCTCTTATCTCCAATTAACTACTAAAAAACAGAAGTGGAGCTGTGACTCAAGTAGTAGTGCACTAGCCCTGAGGAAAGCTCAGGGACAGTGCCCAGGTCCTGAGTTCAACCCCCAGAACTGGCACACACAAAAGAATTTGGCAAATTACTAGAAATGTAGTTCACTAGTTCAGTGCTTTCCTACCATTTGCAAGCTCCTGGGTTCCATCTCCAGTACTAACATCAAAAATAAGAGAGAGAAACCAACAGAATGGTGAGACAAAGGACAAGGGGGAACCAATGCAACAGCCATATATACAAGACAGTATGTTGGAAATGATCTCTACAACTTGGAGGTGGGGAGATGGGGGGAGGGAAAGTAGGAGAAAAATGAGGGAAGGGGTAACAAGATTGACAAGAAATGTACTTATTACCTTATTTGTGTAACTATAACCCCTCTGTACATCACCTTGACAATAAAAAAAATTTATGTGCAGAAAAAAAAAAAACAGAGAAAGCAGGCACCAGTGGATCACCATTGTAATCCTAGCTATTGAGGAGACTGAGATCTAAGGTTCTTGTTTTGAAGCCAGCCTGGAAAGTCCAAGAGACTCTTATCTTCAATTAACCACCAGAAATCTTGAAGCAGAGCTATAGCTTTAGTGGTAGAGCACCAGACTTGATTTTAAAAAAAAAGCTAAGGGACTAAGGGAGAGTACCCAGAACCTGAGTTCAAGTCCCAGTGTTAACGCAAAAACAACAAGAAAGGAAGAGAAGAAAAGGAGGGATAAAGGAAGGCAGAGAGGGAACCAGTTGAGGAAGACTCATTTTGAATCATGGAGGAGGGAGATCTGAGCATGTGGACAGAATCAGGGTGGATGCTTGGGGAGGAGCTGAGTAGATAGAGCTTCACCCTATTTCACCTCCAAGTCCAGAGCATGCAGAACTTTAGAATCTTTCTCACAGATCAGCTCCTTCAGACTGGTAAACAGTTATTGTGAGCTGTGCAAAGTCTGGCAGTGGTGGTCAGTTGCCTCCTCCACAGCTCTCCTGCTAATACAGTAACCAGCAGGGATGGGGCAGGCCTGCCTGCCTGCCAACCAGCAGGCACTTAGAGTAGGTGTAGCTTTCCCTTTTTAAAGGATTTGGCTGGAGGATGTGGTGTTAACAGCTTAAGCGTAGAGAGTTTGCTGTTTCTAAAAGAACAAATTATTTACTTTATTTTTGTATTTAGGAAACCCGGAAAGCTTTAATATGTTAATTTTCCACCTGCAAGTCACAGGATTCCCATTGGTTTGGGAACCTGCCTGGTGCTGTTTAATTGGCTTGTGGCCATTTCCACAACCTGTGATTGCTGCTCTACTCAGATGTTTTTGGGTAAAAAGCCAAATTAACCAGTGAGGAAGGGGGATCAGAGACAGGCATGCGGGGGAGGTGTGACTTCCTGACAAATAGAAGGGCTTTATAAGGAGAAACAGCTTTCCAACTGAATGGCCTCCTGTGTTCTTTTCACATTGTCACTGTGAATTTTCACATTGACTATACATTAAGGATGCCTGGTTCTACTGCTGGAAACCATGCATTCATTGGTTGTAGGCAATACCTGGGCATCTGAATTTTTTCCAGTTTCCTAGGTGATTCTGTAGTACAACCAATTAGGGGAGTTGTTTAGTTGGTGCGTGCGTGGGCACGTGCACATGTGTACGTGCATGCATGTACCAGTACCAGGTCTTGAACTCAGGGTCTTACACTCTCATTTTTTATTCACATTCACAGTTTGCACCTTAACACTTGAGCCATGGCTCTAGTCTAGCTTATTGCTGAATTTAAGATGGAGTCTCTCATACTTTTGTGCCTGGGGTGGTTTTCAAACTGTGGTCCTCTGATCACATCCTCCTAAGTAGCTAGGATTACTGGTGTGAGCCACCTTCACCCGGCTTTTTTTTTTTCCTGAGACAGGGTTTTACTATGCAGTCCTGGCTGGCTTTGTTGAATTCATGATTCTCTTGCTTCATTCTCCCAAATGCTTGGATTCCGAGAATGCCAGAATCCACACCCAGCTACTAGTTTCAGAGCTCATGACTGAGACCTGTATGACCAGAGGTCTGAGGGGAAATAGGCTGCACAGGGATCTGAGGGTATTGCCTGAGTTAGGGTGCTTTGTAGAAGTGAGCCAGCAGTCACAGTTATATGCTTGAATGCTCCAGATAAGCTATACCCTTACTGGAGAGACAACACTCACAAAGCATATTCAGAGTTCTGTAATCGGACAACTGAGGTTCAGGTCCCAGCCATATTGCTTCCTAGCTGTGTGGCCCCAAGAAAGTATCCAAACATTTTTGAACCTGAATCTTATTGACTGAAAAATGGAGCACCTATACATCCATTAAATGAGAAACTATATATTGCATGGTACACAATAGGTACCCAACAAATAAGTCCTGTTACTTTTTCAGAAGCAAAATACCAGTCAGGATAAAAGACAATGTGAAATAAATGTAATAGTGTGGTATGGAACAAAGAACAGGACAGAGTTTACAAGACTGGCTGGCTACAAGAGCATGTTTTAGCTGGATCTTGAAGTGATAGGCATCAATTAGTTAGTAGGGACAAATGGGATGTGTTCAAAGGCAATGAGCAAGCACAGAAATGAACAAACCACATGGGCAGGTTGATAAGCATAGTTTCTTAGCTGGAGAGGAAAATGAGAGAAGAGGGCAGACAGATTAGGGAACTGGCAGAAAAAGTTGCTTCAGAGTTCCCAGTCCAGTCCAAAGAATTCAGATTCAATGTGCTCAAATAATGGGAATCCACTATAGGTCTTTGAACAGAGAGATGAGGGATTGGACGCTGATTTGGACAGAATGGAAGATGTGTGGAAACAAGGTTTGTGTGAAGCTAGGGAAGTAAGGAGGGGATTTTGGTACCAAGAGCCAAGAAGAGCTCAAGCTGGAGGCTAATAGCAGGATGGGAGGAGAAAGAGCAAGTGTGTATCCTTACCCCACACTTGTCTTGCACACACAGTGCACCTGCCTTGTTACAACTAACCCTGTTGCCTGTGGAACATAGCCCAACAACACTAAGAACTATGCTTTACACACTCACTAGATTGCATGATGAAACTGCATGATGTCAAGGTGAGACTATATTTTGGGGTAAATGAAGGTTACATTTTGGTACCAAGAAACAGTGAATGGTGAGGAAGTTGACATGAGTGCTCAGAGGTACTACTATGAAATGATAGATGGTCAGGTATGTCCTACTTTAGACTGAATAAGTGCATATGAAAAACCATAAGAGACAATAGGATCAGGTGTGTGCCACCACATGCAATGCTCTAGGTTGGATCCCCAGCATCATAAAAGAATGATAGAAGGAAAAGAGAAAAGAATACAAAACAGATGAATTTTCTACTTTATGTCATAGTTATTCTACTTTGTAATAAAATTTCATCTGGGCTAGACGCAGAATAGTGTAGCTCCCCAAAAAGTCCATGTCCTAATCCAATTGCTCAGAACTGTGAACATGTTATATGGTAGGGAAGAATTAAGATTGTGGATGAAATTATCATTTCATCATAGTTGATAATCAACTGGCCTAAAAGTAGGGAAATTAGCTTGGATCATTCAGGTGAGACCCATGTAATTGTTTGGGTCCACATAAGTGAAGAAACTGAAAAGGTCAGACAGATTCAATGAGAAGACTCAGCCCAGCCTTACTGGCCTTGATAAAAGGAAGGGACAATGAGCCAAACAGTGTAGGCAGCCTCCAGAAGTCACAAAAAGAGGCAAAGAAACAAATTCTATCCTACAACCTCCTTAGGTGGACACAGATGGGCCTACACTTCATTTTTAGCCCAGTGAGACTTATGTTAGGCTTTCCCCTCCAGGCATGGCAAAAAATAGATGTGTGTTATTTAAACCACAAAGCTTGAGGTTATTTGTTACACTAGCAACAAGAAATTAATCCACTGTGAGATTCCTCCAAGTAGCAAGTACTTATATACTATATCAAAAATGATTTGATAAACTACCAGTTTTTGTTACATAAAGTCAGATGCATGTGTCCTAAGAGATATCCACTGTGCATCATGAGGACAAATGTGTACCTTCTGAAATGAACACAACACTTTTTATCCTTCTGTTCAGATCAATTAGCATATAAGATAAATGAATGAATGATGACATTATATACTGAAAACTTGAAAGCAGGTGTAGGTGCGCCCCAAAAAATTGACAAATGCGAGCTGGGAAGGTGGCTCAGTGGTAGAGTGCTTGCCTTGCATGCCTGAGGCACTGGGTTCGATTTCTCAGCACCACATAAGCAAAAAGAAAAAGGCCAGAAGTGGCGCTGTGGCTCAAGTAGAGTGCTAGCCTTGAGCTGAAGAGCTGAGGGACAGCGCCCAGGCTGAGTTCAGGCCCCACAACCGAACCCCCCCCCCAAAAAAATTGATAAATGCAAGCCGGGTGCCAGTGGCTCATGTTGTAATCCTAGCTACTCAGGAGTCTAAGATCTGAAGATCACAGTTCAAAGCCAGCCCAGGTAGAAAAGTCCAGTCCATAAGATTCTTATCTCCAATAAACCACCAGGAAAAAAAACCGGAAGTGTGCTGTGGCTCAAGTGGTAGAGCACTAGCCTTGAGCTGAAGAGCTGAGGGAGAGCACCCAAGCCCAGAGTTCAAGCCCCACCAAAAAAAAAAAGGTAAACGCTAGGAGCAGAATTTGAAACAGGGGCTGGGAATGTGGCTTAGTGGTAGAGTGCTTGTCTAGGACTGTGAGACACTTAGCCTACCTCTGCATAGGAGACACTTTCAGCTTTTCAATTTACTTTACGGGGAGCATAGAAGTTAGAACCCAAATTTGACCCATTTCTTCCTAGATATGCCTCTCTGATCTGATAGTATTCTGGAAGGGTCTGGTAAAACCTAAGATTATTCACTTGACTGCATGGAAGAATTATGTATGGAGATTTCAAAACCATTGGCTGTCCCAATTCTTTGTCTCAGATCACTCACATCAAAATATCTGAGGTACCATGTGGAGACATCTAAGTCTTTATTGCTTCCCAGGTAACTCTTATTCTTGCGTCTAGCCTGAAAACCACAGCCTTTAAGTCATATTCAGTCTTATCCCCAAATTAGCAGTCTATGCCCAATTAACCTTTCCCAGTACTGTGGAGGCAAGAATTGGAATGTACTGGCTGCCTTGGACTTGAGGTTCACCATCTTGTAACCTTGCTTCTCCAGGCCCTGGATTCCCATTTTTCTCCTGTTGTCAGAGATGCTAGAGTGAGCTGAAGCTATGCTAGGGCAAGATGTGATTGGAGCATGTCAAATTAATCCCCACTGTCCCTTCTCCTGGCTGTCTCATGCTTCACACTCCATCCTACTGATCTCATTTTCCACTTGAAAATGGCCTGGACATATTCTGTTTTCGCTTGACTTACTTGCTCATAGTGGAGTGAGCATGAAGTAGTAGTGTTCAGATATTTTTCTCCAGGAGATAGCAGTGTGGGACTGAGACACCACTGGGACATTATCATACCCCATTACCATAGAAACATGGAAGCAGTAGGGGTGGAATGGTTGAAAGAAAGTCCCAAGGGATCTCTTGTGTGTCCCATTCCCCCCTGTGTCTACCATTCTCATGATTGAGCTATATTGGTCTAGTGCTTTCTGTAGAGACAAGTATTACATTAGGCATCATGAGCATTAAAATCCTATTTAAAGTAAAATGTTTTTGAAGGTTTTTCAAAAACCTGTCTAACCTCTGCTTGCTTGTCTGCCTTTGATTTGATTTTTACCCCTGTTGGCAAAAAGCACATCTGTGCTCCCTTTACAGACTGCATTTGCCCCATGCTGGGGCCCAGTTGGCTATCTGCAAATGCTGAGGAGAGACTCCTGATGGGCTGAGCTGCACTGTACTGGGCTAAGCCAGCTGCCAATGGGCTCGGCCCTCTCTATGCATAAGATTTTATTCTCGCCAGGCACCAGTGGCTCACACCTGTAATCCTGGCTACTTAGGAGGCTGAGATCTGAGGATCGTGGTTCAAAGCCAGCCTGGGCAGGAAAGTCCTTGCGATTCTTATCTCCAATAAACCACTCAGAAAACAAAGTGACACTGTGGCTCAAGTAGTAGAGTGCTAGCCTTGAGCTGAAGAGCTGAGGGACAGCGCCCAGGCCCAGAGTTCAAGCCGCATGACCACACACACACACACACACACACACACAAAAGCAAAACAAAGAAAAAAGATTTTATTCTCATGCTGTTTAATTGCTGACATCAATTTATTATAGGGGATAAGAAGAAACTGAAGTCACACAGTTAAGTCAATTAGTCACTCAACTTCCAGTCAGTAATTCTCTCCATTAGTCAACCAACCAGCCAGGTTACTAAGCAGAATATGAGAATAACTGACATTCTGCCTGCTCTGCAGCTAGCCTGTCAACTAAGCCTGAGTGAGTCAGTCTGCCCTGTAGCCAGTCAGCCCATCAATGTGTCTATCAGACTACCATTCAGCCTATACTCTAGTGAAATGGTTTTTCATCCTATTTGTCAGCCAAGGCCTTTTCCTCAAAGGAAGATTCTTTCAGCTTCTGAAACCAAATATCACACACTAACACATGTTCATGCCCACCTACCCACCGCTCCAGGACATTCTGTGTTCTGATAGCTCTCTGCAATTTGCCTTTGTAGTACTTCTCCCACCTTGGAGTCACATTTGTTTGTGTGATTATTCTTGTTATGTCATGTTCCTACTAGAGTGTAAGCTCCACAGGATCAGGAATTAGATTGGCTGCTCTGGAATGAATGGTCATAGATTTCAGTTGGTCACATTTCCCAGAAGGCATCGGGCCATTTGTAGCAGTTGACCATGTCAACAAGGCAGGACGCAGGAGCACTTTGTGAAAGGGAAAAGCACAGACTAAGATATGGTGCTATGAGAGAGCATGGCAAACTGTAAATGATGGGGCATTGACTAAGCCCCAGGTGAGAGATGAAGGGAGGAGGACACAGGCAGTGTTAAGGGACATGTGATTGGAGATTTTAGCCTGTCAGTGATGAGTTGTAGAGGTTCTCAGGGGAAAGAGATAGGCTTTATAAAGACTCTTGTCAGAGACAAAGTGGGCTAAATTGAGAAGAGACTAACAGAAAAGCCAATTAGGAGGCTACTGGAAGTCCTTAGGTTAGTGTATCCCAGCCTCCTCCATATCATGAGAAAACATCACAATTTCTATGGCAAAACATATCTACAGATGAGCCATATATCCCCAAGTAAGGCATCTTGTGGACCCAGCAGAAGACCCAGTGGCTGAGAGGCTCAGATCACTGCCCCTCATCAGCCATTCCCACATACCTTGAAGGAGAGTGGATCTGGGTGGAAGATGATAAGACAGACACAGTGAGGATGGCTGTGATGTTTTTGAATGCCCCTAAGGTACATCAGGTGGCACTTTCTTAGACACAGCAATGATAGTAGCAACTATCCACACTCAAACCTCTCTGAATCAGTCCTTCTACATTGGTTACTATAAGGAGGATACCTAAGCCAGGCGTGGTAGTGCATGCCTGTACCCTCGGCTATTTTAGAAGTGTCAGGGCATATGGTGGTGAGTGAGAGCTAGTATAGATGAAGCCTAGACTTCCAGCTTTACCCACATTCTCCCAGCTGGCCCACACATCTGCTGAGCTCTGACAAATGCAAATAGAGCCACACAGCAGGCACATGATGTTATATAATTTTAGTCTTTTTCAGTAAAAAATGTTGGTTCATTAAATGTGTGACTAAAGGCTGATTTAATGTGATACCTGAGTAAGAGTCTACTACAAAGCGAATCTCAAATCAGAAGAAGTTGTCAGGAAGTGTGCCTAAATGTTTAGTTCTGAATATATATATATATATATATATATATATATATATATATAATGCTTATGGTGGTACTGGGGTTTGAATTCAGGACCTTGAGCTTTCATAGCAGGTGTCCAATGACTCCACACTTTCATCCATTTGTTTTCTGGACCTAGGGCTTGAACTCAGGGCCTCTCACTCTTGTCTTTTTCCACCTAAAGCTAGCGCTCTACCACTTGAACCACAGCTCCACTTCTGGTTTTCTGCTGGTTATTTGGAGATAAAAGTCTCTGCTGCCCAGGGTGGCTTTGAACCTCAATGCTCAGATCTCATCCCTTTTTGTTTCAGATATTTTTCAAAGAAGGTCTTGCATTTATGCCCCAGCCAGCTTAAGTCATGATCCTCCTATTTATGCTTCCCTTATATCTGGGATAACAGACATGTGCCACCACATCCAGCTTTTTATTAATTCATATGGAGACTTGTTAACTTTTTGCCCAGTCTAACTTTGAACCTCAGTCTTCCCTTCTTTCACCTCCTGAGTAGCTAGGATGGCCGGTGTGAACTACTGTACCCAGTTAAAAGTATGGTTCAACAATTCAAGGCATCTTTTCTTTATTACCTTTATTTTTTTATTTTTTCCTTTACTATTTACTTTATTATTTATTACTTTTCTTCACTATCTTGCAAATGTAGCCAGTCTTCCTTCTCGTGTCTTTACATTTCTTTCCCTCTCTTTCACAGCCTCTGGTGCTGTTGATGGAGTGGCCAGAAGCAACCAACTTTGCCTGCCTGATTGCAGGGTACTGCCGCCTCCTGCTGGATTCCAGAAAGATGGTCTTCTCCAGGCCTTCCAGCCAGCCCCTTCCACCTCCAATGATCAAGGCAGGTAGGGCTCAGCCTCGGTTGGTTTTCAGTGTGTTGGAAGCCTTTTGGACCCTGAAGACATAGATAGAGGAAATCTGTTGCCCTCACACTCACCCCATGCCCACAGTTCCTAAAATCATGCTCACAGCTCCATATCAAGCACCCTTCCTGGCACATCCCCACTGGGAATGTGCCTGTTCAACAAAGCATTCCTGTAACAATGCAGAATGCTTGAGTCAGTGAATGGATGTAAGATACCTTCAGCAAGCATGTGCTGGAGCCAACTGAAGAATTGCATTGGGTAGGATGGAGTAGTACACATCTGTAATCCTAGCACTCAGATGATTGAGGCAAGCTGGGCACTGGTGGCTCACACCTGTAATCCCAACTACTCAGATGGCTGAGATCTGAGGATCATGATGGGAAGCTAGCCCAGGCAGGAAAGCCCATGAGACTCTTCTGTCCAATTAATCAAAGAAGAAACCAGAAGTGGAGCTGTGGCTCAAGTGGTAGAGCACTAGCCTTAAGCATAAACGCTTAGGGACAGTGCCCAGGCCCAGAATTCAAGTCCCAGGATTGTTTAAAAAAAATAAAAAGAGGGTTGAGGCAGGAAGATTGTGAGTTTAAGGCCAGCTGATACAGAAAAAGACCATTCTCCATGAAAAGAATTTTAGCCAGGCTCTGGTGGCTAACACCTGTAATCCTAGGTACTCCGGAGGCTGAGATCTGAGGATTGCAGTTCAAAGCCAGCCCTGGCAGAAAAGTCCCTGTGAGACTCCTATCTCCAATAAACTATTCAACAAAGCCAGAAGTGGCACTGTGGCTCAAGGGGTAGAGCACTAGCCTTGAGCACAAAGAGGCTCAGGTGATAGCACCCAGGACCTGAATTTAAGCCCCAGGACCAGCAGAAAGGAAGGAAGGCAGGAAGAAAAAGAAAGAAAGGGGGGCTGGGAAGGTGGCTCAGTGGTAGAGTGCTTGCCTTGCATGCCTGAGGCCCTGGGTTCGATTCCTCAGCACCACATAAGCAAAATGAAAAAAAGCCGGAAGTGGTGCTGTGGCTCAGGTGGTAGAGCGCTAGCCTTGAGCTGAAGAGCTGAGGGACAGCGCCCAGGCCCCACGACTGGACCAAAAAAAGAAAGAAAGAAAGGAGGAAGGAAGGAAGGAAGAAGGAAAGAAAGAGAAGATAAATTTTTGTTCTGCATTGAAAAATGGGGGAGAGAGGAAGGACTGGAAGGGCCAGAAGGAAGCTTGAAAATAAGAGATAGAACAAATCAGCCCCCAAACAGAAAGTAATAGACAACTTCCAGTGACTACCTGCCAAGGTTGTCCTGGTGATGGCACAAAGAGAAGCCTTGGGAAAATCAGGCCAGTCCAGGCCTGCTGCCCAGAACATAAGCTGGAGAAGAAGCAGATGACTCGGAAAGCCTGTGCTCCACATACTAACCTTGGACTCACATACAAGTAGTAAGGGTTCCCAACCTCAAACATCATGAGAGAAGTCAAAACTTAACACCCAGTTGCCACCTTTGTCACATGATAACCATTTGATGCACCGGCCCTTGCTACCTGACTTACTGTCATCAACACTTTATTAGTTTTCAAAGGGGTCACATCTGATTCAGATTGGTAATAGCCATGTTTAAGCATGAAAACACACTCTTCAGGGCTGGGAAGGTAGCTCAGTGGTAGAGCACTAGCCTTGAGCTCTACCCCACAACCGACAAAGAAAAAAGAAGGAGGAGGAGGAGGAGGAGAAGACGACGATGACACGCTCATGGCAAGATGACCTAGCACCCATAGAGCTGTGTGTCACTTCTATATACATCATCATGACTTTTTTCCCCATTAACAAGTCCATCCCACACATCATAAAAGACACAAGTTTTGATGGATCTCATAATGTGCTTCATGAGAATGAAAAGGCAATGCACCAAACACAAATTTGGGAATGAATGTACACCGCCTCCCCCTACCCCCGCAAGGTATAGGAAGGGGTTGAGCTGGAACAGGAAGCAACAGGGGAGGAAGGTCGACATTATCCAAAAAGAAATGTACTCTTTACCTGACTTAGGTAACTGTAACCCCTTTGTACATCACCTTTATAATAACAATAAAAAAAGAAAAAAGAAACAAGGGAGCAAGGTGTTGCATAGCTTCAGATGAAGAGATCTGAAGAGACAGCTGGACTTGCAAACCTACAGATGACCAAATGCTAGAAAAGCCAGTGTTAGCACTTACGATGGCACCTATGCTCCCCCAGTGTCTAATCACACCCAAGTATGAGCAGAATAGATGAGGAAGGGAAATAGATGGCAGAAGGAAGAACTTGAAGCCCAGCCAAGAGCCAAATGTAACAGTAGGAATTGTATCAGGAAGGAATCTGCATTAAGAAGGTGGCTCTAAGTACGGCTCCAGTGGCGTCTGCCCATAATTCTAGCTACTCAGGAGGCTGAGATCTGAGGATTGAAGTTTGAAGCCAGCCTGGCAGGAAAGTCCATGTGACTCGTCTCCAATTAACTTCCAGAAAACCAGAAGGGGAGATGTGGTTCAAGTGCTAGAGCGCTAGCTTTGACTAAAACAGCTTCAGGACAGCACCTAGGCCCTGAGTTCAAGCCCCAGAATAGGCACACAAAAAAGAAAGTAGGTTTGTGTCACACCATCAGCACCCTAACAAAGGGGCTCCAAGTGTGTCCCTGCAGCTTTACCCAGCACCTTCCATGTGACGTGATTCCCTGTTGCTTTTCCAAAGGCAGATCTGACTCATTGCACTCTTTTGGTGCTGATCATGGTTTTAGGATTTTCTTCCTGATTCCTGAGAACCCGTATGTGTGTGCAGAGGGCCATAGGCTCAGACTACCCCTAGCCTGGAATCTCTGTGTCCATGCAGGAGCCAAATGGACCACTGTAGTATGTCTGCAGTTTGTAGTGCTTCTTTCTTAGCACAGAAAATTTGCTCAGAAGCAGAGGCAATAGAAAGCTTCTATTTCTCCTTTCTCTTCTGGCCAGAAAGACATGACCTTGAGCTTGGCATCACCTCCTCCATGAGAACTGATTAGGAGCTTGGTTTCTTGGCCTACTGAAGTGCTAGGTGCTGGGTTGACAGTACCCACAAAATGCTCTTGCTAGGTGGTGTGGAGGTGAGCTTCCAGCATGTGTTGCTGAGCTCAACAAAGCACCAGGGTGCTATGCGCATCCTATTTTGCAGACTCCACTGAGAAGGCCTCAGCTGGGGATATAGTGCTGTGGTTGTCAGCTCCTGGTCTGGTAGACCTTTAGAACACTGTCCAAAGCTGAAGTCATTTTCCTCTATCAGCCTTCTCTTTCATCTCACCACAGAAGCATCAGTGCCAGAAGCTGTTGCCTAGCAAAGGCTTATAGTGAATAGGCATCCTGCCAGTCTCACTGGCCTTGTCCCTCAGGGGCCACAGCTACAGCTCATGTAGAGCTTGGTCTCTCAGGACAAAAAAGAAAAGGTCAGTCTGGGTCTATATTTTTGTGCCACAGCATATCTTAGAATCCAACCATCCCAACTCAGTGCACAGTCTTCTGGGCCTAAAGAATGCTGTTAAACCACCAACTGGGAAGTGGCAGGGAAAGCATTCCCTCTTCTCAGTAGCTGCACTCAACAGACATTTCTCTACCACCCAAGCATTGGGGAGGGGAAGACAGCTGAGAATAATGCATTGTCTACAGTCCCAGCCTTCTTACAGCTTACAGCATAATGGGGGGAGGGGGGAATGTATGGGACCATTTCCATAACTAAAAATCTGCCTTTATGCTAGGGAATGCAGCAGCCACCACAGACTACTAGCATGTGTTTTTAAAGGTCCAGGATATAATGAAGCAGCAAGACATTTACCGGCAGCTAAATATATATATATTTATATTTATATCAATATATATATTTATTTATATATAAATATATTTATATATATATGTATATATCTTGGGGGAGTCCAGGAAAATTAGACTTTGGGGATCTCAGTTGGGGCCTTATTTGGAGGAGAGCTATTCTACAACTACCATGATTAGAGACAGTGTGGTTTGGTAAAATGACTATTCTAATTAACTCTTTGTGACTTGCCAGTTTTCCTATAGGTAAAACCCAGCAACATTCAGAGTGCCAAAGTTAGGCTGAACACAATACACTTTCTTGAATGGCTCAGAAAGAACAGGGGGGCTGTATATGGTCATTTAAGCAATGAATGTTAAACTATAGAGTGCAGGAGGGCCACATCATACTGTTGCACTGATGTGTGTGTGTGTGTGTGTGTGTGTGTGTGTACATGAACTGCATATATTTTGAGGCAAATCTAACTGGCTCACTGACTTGTTTTTTGCAGGTGTTTTGAAGTCAGTCTTGTGAATAGCTGAGTATAGACTGGTAAACTAGCACCGCCCCCTTTGGGGAAATCTGATGAGCAATTTACACAGGTTTGCAGTCTGAGAGACACACTGTCCCAGACATCAGCCACCTGCACCTGGCTTCCATGGCATCTCTAGCTTTCTGCCTGGAGGAGAGTTGGGTTTTTCCAGGCACACTTTTCTCAGATCTGGAAGTCACTGTGCCAGTGACAGGCTAGCATGACCTGACCTTTATTGTCTTAGTGCTGTCTTGCAAGGAGAAAAGCCACCTTAAGGACTCCAGCCTTTGTCTGAGATCTACTTGGTAGATCTACCTTAGGAGCGACCTTTGATTGCAGCTCATTGCTAGACCAGTTCCTGTGATTATATAGCTGTCTCTTAGGATGATAGCTCCTGAGGAATCCCCAGACCCTTCTGATGATGCCTGGGGGTAGAGAGATACCAGGAAATTACAGCTCATACTCCCAACTCAGCACTTCCGTGGAGCACTTCTTCCCTGACTTTTAGAGGCCTGAATTGAGTCACTGAATCCTTTTGCTTAGTTGATCCAGAGTTCTATAGACACAGCCAGTAAGGCCTGAAGCATATGGACTCACTATAGTTATATAACGTGGTCTGTGGAAAGCTGCTATGAACTTGGGACTGAAGGCATAGAGG